GGACTGTATTAGGTGCTTTTTGAAGCTATGTGCTACTATTAACTAACAGTGCACTGCAGATCACCAGTGGTCCAGTTTAAGATATACTAATGCAGTGTATTACTTTTTATAGTTAATCTATACAATAAAAACAGTGAGGAGACAGAGTAAAAATATCTATAGCATCCTTAACTCAGCTCTGTTGGGTGCAAGTACCAATTACCATACATATGGCTTGTAGTTACACACCTTTAGCTTACCATGAAAGGTTATTAATATAGTAACAAGGATTCTTAAATTAATTTTTGCTTTATCCTTACGGTATGGGTTCAGACAAGAGAAATCTGAGAAGTTTAGACAAGCAACTAAGTTTATTTCTGAACAGTTTAGTCCACAGCACCCACTTTAAGCTTCCTGACACAGCAGTTATACCATTTAATCTGGACGCTTCAGCTTCATAAGTCTAAGTAGTAACAAATATTCTACCTATTCCGCAATTTATCAAATGTTAAACCACCACCTATATTCAGTGAAAGAACTCCAGTAAAACTAGCCCCTGTTCCAAAGCAGCCATTCCTTATTAAGCCAGTTTTTGTAACACATTACATAGAATTTCTCATATTTTCATCAATATTTTCTTGTATTATTAAAAATGAAAACACAAGCCACTAGGAGAAACAAGAAGTGACAGCTTTCAACTTCTACCCCTCTTTCTTAACAAGTTTGTGTATTCCTCTGAAAGCTAAGCAGATGCTTAATTGTATGGGATTTCTGGATTTTTTGTTTTGCCTATATACTTATTTTTTTTATATTTGTTATACTAATTCTCACGATTTATATTTACTAAGTATTAATTGGTGTGAAAGAGACAAGATAGGTGAGGTAATCTCTCTTTCAGGACCAACTTCTGTTGGTGGAAGGTATAAGCTTTTGAGCTACACAGAACTCTTCTTCAGATCCGGGAAAAGATATTACCACAATTACCTTGTGTCACTCATATCCTGAGACCAACACTGTTACATCACTGCAAACTAGTTATTACTGTGACCATCAGCCTGCTGCAATGTAAATGTAAGTAGATATTGATAAGGAGAATGCTGGTAAAGTGAATCACATGATCATTTAAGGTTACTCACATTATCAATCTAAACTTCCATTTTTCACAAATCTAAAAAGAGAGACATTGGTGAAAAGATGCCACATCCCAAATCTTTGGGGGTGAAACATTTAAAAAGTCAAAATGCTATATCAACATTTACATCAGGGATCAGCAACCTTTGGTACGCGGCCTGCCAGGTTAAGCACCTTGGCGGGCCAGGCCGGTTTGTTTACCTGCCGTGTTCTCTGGTTCGGCCGATTGCGGCTGCCACTGGCAGCAGTTCGCCGCTCCAGGCCAATGGGGGCTGCGGGAAGTGGTGCGGGCCAAGGGATGTGCTGGCCACCGCTTCCCACCACAGAAGATATAAGTGCTAAGGGTTCTTCTAGAGTTGTCCGCAGCTTTGCCCAGGACTACAGATTTGTTTACCCCAACGTGTTTGTCACAATGTGTGATTTTCAGTCCGCCAATGCTCTTCACACATTCTAAGTACACAGTTCAAGAAATTAAGTATTCTGCTTTAAACTAAAACTAAGCATTAGTCCAATCAACAATTTTTTTCTCCAAAATCCTCAAAATCTTTATCTTGTGTCAGAAAATAACAGATGCACAGTGTGTTCCATTTATGATAACCATTTGCACAAATGATCAATCAAAATTAATGGGGGGGAGATAGCTCAGTGGTTTGAGCATTGGCCTGCTAAAAACAGGGTTGTGAGTTCAATCCTTGAGGGGGCCATTTAGGGATCTGGGGCAAAAATC